TGGCTCCCTGACTCCTGGTGGTTCCGCTCCTGCTGCGTTCTGAACTTTCGTCTTGCCCATGTTGGCGCCAATGCCACAAACAGTGCTTTGGGGCGCGCGGCGGACCAGTCAGACAACTTCGCGCGATCGCGCTGGGGCATGCCCCGCGTTTTTTTTTTTGGGCCTCCGCATCGGCGGCCACAGGTCGGGCGCCCGCCGCGCGCCGCGCGCCGCGCGCCCGGCCCGCGGACCCCCGCGGCGCCCCAGCGCGTCCCCCAAGAGAGAGGTGGACGAGATGGAACGCAGGGTGCCCCCGTCTCGGGTCGGGTCTTTCACCGCCCTTCGCAGGGCACCCCGTGGAAAGATGAATGCTCGCAGCCCGCGCCGATCCACCTCCCGCGTGCGCCCCGAAATGGCGGCGCCAGCCCTCGAAAAAGCGAGGGGCGGGCCCCCCCCACCCCAAGGGAGATGCGCGGGGGTCGCGTGCGGCCAGCAAAGAGAGTGGAGAGCAGGACAGACAACAAGAAGGCGAACAAGGACAATATAGTGCAAAAGCAAATAACAAAAAACAGAGAGGGCAAAGCAGATGCATCGGATAGAACATGTGGCATATACCCAGTGCAATGCGGCCTGTGAGCGGTGCGAGATATCCAAGCACGACGAGCGCATCACGACGCAGGAGCAATAAAACATAATGTGGAAACGCAGGGGCAAAAAGAAAGTGCAAAGAGAAGCAGCACAAACACTGCATGGTAAGGGACCGATGGCAGCAATCAGTCAAATATGTAAGCATACGCAGTGGAGAGGGCCAGCAACAGAGGGGCAGCTGGAATAATAAGAAGACAGGCGCGAATGGAGGGATGGGGCAGGGAAGGGGGAGGGGGGAGGGAGAGGGAAGGGGGGGGGGGGAAGGGGGCGAAGGGAAGGGGGAGGGGGGAGGGAGAGGGGGGGGGGGGGGAAGGGGACGACGCGGGGCAGAGGGGAAGCCGACCAAAGTTTTTTTCCAGGAAAGGGCGCAAATCAAGGGCGACGTAAGTGTCGTCAAGAACGACGAAAAAGTAATTCCCCAGTAGTGAGTTGGCCTGCGCGTCTTTTTCTCCTAGGGCAGGGTGTTGCTCCAGTGCAAACAGCGTGGGCATCGGGGGATCGCCCAGCTCCCGCTCTCTCTGCCTGTTGCACTGCGTGGGTGTCCCCGTGCTGGTCGTGCGAGGAGAACCTGTGGAACATTCTGCGGGGGGGTGGCGCCGAGCTCGGCTGGGGGGCCCGCCCACCCCCGTTGCATGGCATTGCGCGGTCGCCTCTGGGAAGCACTGTCGCCCCTTCTTGGGTTGGCCTGCGTCGCGCGCTGGGTGAGATGTGCTACGCCTTCCGTGTTCGCCCTGGTGGGCAGGGAAAACTGAGCCACCAGCCTCCTCCGCCCGTTTCCTGCCAAGATGCCCATCGCCCTCCCGGTCGGCTTGGTTTGTGCCGTGAGCCGCCCCCAGGCGCAAAGCTTCTGCCACAGGTCCTGGTGGCCTTGCCTGCGCCATCCTCGTCGCCGCGTGGTGTTTTATGCCGCTGGCGTGCTTGTCTCCCGCGAGTGTTTGCATGTGCTCGCTGGTCAAGCCCGACGGGCCCGGGGCGGCGCCCCTGCGGCAGCCGCGGATGTTGCGCTGGAGCTTGTCGGACTCGAGCCGGACTGGCTCCAAGACCAGAGGTGCCAGGTCCCCTCTCAGCGGCTCCCGCGGTTTGGCGAGCCTTCGCGCCGGGTCCCGCCTCGAACCGGACAAACCGTTCCAGCAGCTGTTCTTTGGGCACTGTGCGGGCGCCAGTGTCCTTACTCAGCAGCGTGCGCGGGATCAGGGGGAGGAGCTTCCAGCCTTGGAGCTGGCGCGCCTAGTTTTTGTCCTCCCCCCCCCCCTTCTCCCCGCGTGGATCTCCATCTGCGCTCAGGAGTCCTTGGGGGGGTCCTTGGGCGCTCCGCAAGGTGGCCACCCGCTGGTTCAACGCTGCCTGCAAATCCGCCCCGTCCCGCACCTCTCTCTCTGCCTTGCGCAGCGCTTTCCTCTGAGGGCGTCGGCCCCTCGGCCCCTGCGCTGCTCCTCCGCCGTCGCCCTCTTCCTCCTCTTCCTCCTCCGCTGCCTCTTTGGCCCTGGGGGCTCCAGCCGCTTCTGGGGCGTGCGCTCATCGTGGCCCGTGGGGGTCTGGGCTCGGGCCTGGGTCTGCTCTGTCGCCCTGGCTGTCGCTGCCTTCGTCCCCTCCTCCGTTGCCTGGGCCTTCTCCCCCCCCTGCCGCCTCCTCTGCCTGCTCTGGCGCCCTTCCTCGAGCGCTTCTTCCCCCCCCTGCCTCTTCTTCGTCTTTTTTTACCGTCGACGCCGCCTCGAAATGACAGGGATCGTCAGGAAGAGCACGGACAACTCGATTCCGCTGCCGAAGACCGTAGCTGGAGGAGGCGCACCAGCAACGAGATGAAAACGGAGAAAATATCAGAACAGGCCCACGTACCGCTCGCCACTCTTCTCGCCTGGGAAAGTAAATAAGC